CATTGCTTTTCCTCCCACTTCTGCTTCTGCCCCCCCCCCCATTCCAGGGTGCTGCTCTACGAAGGGCCCCAGCTGGTGGCCGACTCCGGGGTCATCCTCGACACCACCATGCGGGGCGGGCGCCTGGGCGTCTTCTGCTTTTCTCAGGAGAACATCATCTGGTCCAACCTGCAATATCGCTGCAATGGTGAGAGGCCGGCCGGCTCTGGGTCGCGCCGCTAGCTTGGAGACCCTCCGTGGGGGGGGCATTTGCCAACTAGTTGGGAGACCCGGGGGCATTTCTGTGCTTGCCAGGAGGGCAACGCACGTTGGAAGAGGGCACCGAGAGGCTAGCTCGCTGTCCCGTCATTTTGCACGCCACCTTACCTGGGGAGGCTGCAGTATCTGTCAGGGGCACCTTAGCAGTGAATTCCTGACCTGGGTAGTGGGTTGGACTAGATGACCCCCCAGGTTTCAGTCCTTCCATCCTAGGATGCCTCCGCTACAACCCTGCGAGGTAGGATGGGCTGAGACCTAACGCCTGGCTGTGGGCCACGACAGCAAAGTAGGATAAAATGGAACCAGGCCACTTATAATTCAGCGTGGGCTGGGATCCCAACCATTTCGTGGGACCCCAAATAGAGATTTAGCATCCACTGTGAACACCATATTTGTTAAACCCCAAGTTTGGGGTTAAGTGGGTCGTGCGAATCCAGCCCCAGCCGGGCCCACAGTCACCGCAGCCGAGGACACCAATCTCTTCGGTCTGATCTTCATCCGGCAACTCCGTTGCTCCAGTGGGGAAGCCAAAAAAATCAAACTAGCGGGGCCTTTGCATCTGTGCCGTGTCCAGCATGAAGCCGCCAGGCTGTTCTTCCTTCACCTCTCTTTGCTTTCTCGCTAGATACCGTCCCCGTGGATTTCGAGCCCTTCCGGCGGGTGATATTAGAACAGCCTTGAAGAGAACCGTGGCGCGGGGTGATTTCCCAGGCTGAAAACGTCAACCCAAAGGATTCCAGGCAGATCTCCCCAAGAACGTGGCCAACCCGTTGGAGATCTCGCTGCCCCCCCCACCATGCACCTGATTCTATCACGGATTGGAAAACCTGCAAACCCCACTTGCACGTGTTTGCAAAGGCTGGAGCGGTTCTTTACTCAAATAGAAAAGGCCCACCAGAGACACACCAGCGGGGTTGGCTAGGGATTTGATTCGGGGTTGTTTTTAGAGGAAACCTCCATCCATTCATAAAGTTTTGGCTCTTTTTTTAAAAATTCTGCACCTGTCGTACTTGGGGGGGGGAGCGGGAATAAATGAACTTTAATCGGTGAGATTAAACCCTGCTTTGACTTTGCCACACCACCTGCTAGACCTTGGGACCTTCAAGCTTTCTACCCGAAGGCGTGCCTTCAAGGGGCGAAGGTGGGAGAAAAAACTTACTTGCTAGGTCCCCTGTTTTTCACCTCTTGGATCCCCAAAGCGCGCTGTTCACTTGCCCTAAACCCCATTTTTGGAATCTCAGTTTGTCAAAGATACTTAGAAGGTTCTCGTCCTCCAGTTCGAGAATGATTTGAGCTGGAAGTGCCTTAGGAATCTGGATTTTGCAACCCGGTACGGAGGCATTTTGGGTCCGCTAAGAAATTTCGACGCGTCCAAATTAGCTTCGCTGTCGGCAGGAGGAATTGATCTTGGTGGCTGCACACTTTTAAATCGGGGGGGGGGGACCAGCAGAGCAAAACGGGCCCCAGGAAAACGGAACCCCTCATTAAAGGGTCTTGGGTAGCTCTCGGACCCGGCTCGTGGCCCATCACCTGATTTGCCCTCCAGCTGGGCAAAATTCGGTCCGACGTAGCGCTCCAGCTGGGAAGTGGAGTCAGGTAGGTGTGCTGGCTCAGGTGTGTCCCCCGCAGGTGAGTCCAGAACAGCGGGAGGCCAGGACGAGTGCAATATTCGTGGGAAAAATCACAACATTGCACTCAGCCCCAACCCTGCCCCCAACCTGGAATCTGGGACACTGGGCGGGGGCTCGGCCCCGGAAACTCGGCAGCGGCGTCATCGTCGGAGGGGATGCTACCCAGAGCCTTGCGAGACGAAAAAGGTTGGAAAGATTAGCCGGGCTGCCTCGAATCCCCCCCCCCGACTCTTCCCCCCAAGCTCCCCTCGGGTGCCCAAGTGTCAAAGTTGCCCCTGGCGCTCGGGAGCTGGGAATGTGGTGAAAGGATTGCCCACTGGCCACAGCGCCCGGACGTTGCTGTGGGGATCCGTGTCCCAGCAACGGCTAAGTGAACGCCGCGTTTGCAGACGGTGGCAAGCGGCCGTGTGTGTGTGTGTGTGTGTGT